CATAGCCAAACAAAGACACACCAAACAACAATTTCAAAAGGAACAGGTTTAAAAATAAATAACACGCAGAGAAAAATCAATATAAACAAAGGATACCTTCTACCCACTTTTAGAAAGAAAATAAATTTACTCACCAATAGTCGTAATAAAATAATTCAGCACTATATTACTGTTTAAAAACAATAAAAACTTACTGACTTTCTTTAAAACACTATACACAACCTTTAGCCGCCCGCAAGCCGAAAACTAGTCGCAGAAAAAACAGAAAACAATATTTAAATTGTTAGCACATGAAGTCACACGTTAGTCGCACGGCGCCGCGAAGGGAAGTGTCTCCTATTGGTCTAAGCGTGATGATATATAGCCTATAACCTTCCTCGATAAATGGGCTATCTAACACTGAAAGAATTTTTCAAATCGGACCAGTAGTTCCTGAGATTAGCGCGTTCAAACAAACAAACAAACTCTTCAGCTTTATAATATTAGTATATATTAACATATACTTGTAGACTATGTGTTAATTTATATCGATCTTTAAAAACAAAATGTTTCTATTCCTAATAGAAAAACCTATTTCTCAGTACAATGCTTTCTTAATAAAGAACTTAACTAAGATTTCGAATGTTATAAGAAGAAAAGAAACAGTTTTTTCATGACTACATCTATCCGTAAACAACTGTATATTTTTTCAATTATTATTGTATATAGTTTTTCGAAATAAATTTATAAATTCATAAAACTATTAATTTAATTTTAGGGGCATAATACGGATTACATAATTTCATTTACATAGTATAAAATAAAGTCGCTTTTTTGTGTTGATCTTTTAAACTAAGCAATGGACTTTAATGCGGTTTTCACCAATAGAGAAAGTGATTATATGTATAATACATGCATATTGTCACAAAGAAAATTCACACAGGCACATTCCAGATAGTTCGATTAACCACGCAATTCTGGGAACCGTTTAATAATAATGCAGGTTGGCACGGAACAATAAGTTCTATACCAATACGCATAAGATGAAAAATAGATTGTAGCGCGATTATCTTGTTTACATTCGAAACGAATTTGTATTTCTTAGAAGTGGGCGGTTCTCGTAGGGATTGGAATTTGTCCGACATGCCACCGATAGGTGGTATCCGAGGGGATTTCCGCACGGAAAAAAAAAAAAAAAAAAAAAAAAATACGAGTATTATAAATACGGACACGTCTTCTATCATCAGTTGTGTGTTGAATGGTCATTTTTGTTTTTTTTTTGTACATTTCATTATCTTGTTCATATTTAAAAACAAGTGTAAGCTATTTAGGTTTTACTTGGGTTTTATGATAGCCTCTATTCTACCTATTTCTATCAATTTTATATGTGTCAATTTTATATGTGGTCTAATGTTGGTTTCATAATTATGTAATCCTCTATAAATATCTTGATCTTTTACTATGTACCTTACTGTTTGTTGGTTCTTAATAAATAAAAAAAAAGTATTTCAACCCAAACTCAACCCTCTTGTAAACTATTTTAAATAATACATTATTATTCCTTATCCAATTAAGTACGTTAGATTAGTTGTGCATTTAATGTAGATTAAAATTACTCTTTACAGCATATTATTAAAATTATTATGGAATAGGGGGCAAACGAGCAGACGGGTCACCTGGAAAGCAACTACCGCCGCCCATGAACGCCTGCAACTCAGGAGTCACAAGCGCGTTGCCAGCCTTCGAGAGTTTTAAAATGCGGGGGCCCAACGAACGTCGAACAGTACGTCCGTCCCGGGTAGCAGCGGCCGGCAAGATCGGAGCGGGCCCATAAATATTGGATTTAAAGATGTTTTGTAGTACTATGATAATAATAGTTTAATAAAAAAGTATTAGTAGTACCTACATTGCATCCGTGCGAAGCCGAGGCGGTTCCCTAGTCTTATATATAAAATTCTCATGTCACAATGTTCGTTCCCGTACTCCTCCGAAACGGCTTGACCGATTCTCATGAAATTTTGTGTGCACATCGGGTAGGTCTGAGAATCGGTCAACATCTATTTTTCATACCCCTAAATGGTAAGGGTGACCCATCCCTAATTTTTTTTTGTTTTGCAATACAACGTTTGCCGGGTTAGCTGGTGTTTTTATAAATTGTACGTCATGAGTGGCATTGCAGCAAGGGTTTATAACTAAAATTGATACGACCTTCAAACCTTCAAGAAAAGAGCGTTCTCTTTCCTAAAAGGCCGGCAACGCGTTTGTGACTCCTGAGTTCCAGACGTTCATGGGCGGCGATAGTCCCTTTCCATCAGGTGACCCGTCTGCTCGTCTGTCCCCTCTAACATAATAAAAAAACTAAAAGTTGAAAACAAATTAGTCTGTTTCATAAAACGAGACGAGCCGTATCACTAGGACTAGCGCTGACTCTGGGGACTATTCATTACTGGTACGCTTCATAGTCAGGGCCAGATTAGCTTAAATTTTGCAATAACCAAATAAGTGTTCTATTTAATTCACTTTGTTTATGAACGCAGGTAAACCAATTAATCCACACAAAGTAGTGAAGAGTTAAATTTAAAAAGTATTTGTGTTATTAACAACTACCACTATTATATTAATACTAAACCACAATATAGATATCGGTTTCTAAGATTAAAGGATATGTAATTAACACACGTACTGAACAAGCAAAAATATATTAATCAGTTTCTGAATGAAGTATGAGATCTGATAGTATCGCCAACGTACATGTCCGGTGTAAACTTATAACTCTGGAAAGGGTTCACGGCAGAAACTACTTTCACAACCCTCTTTGGTTGATCGTCAACATATACCATGTTACCAACGTCACCAAACGAGCCGCCCGGGGGTACCACCATAATCTTATCTGCATCTTCTCTAACTTTTGAGGGTAGCAAATCCGTAAATCGTCCGGCCATTGCACCCAACAGCGGTTCATCCTTGTTTATACAGTATGCGAATAAAGCCACCACTATATAAAAAAAACCTATGAGTATTATATAACATATTATGATCCCTTTGTTTCTGGATATTGCTGACTGCAATTCGAAGAAACATCCTCTGTCTTTATATGTCTCTATGTCAGCGTTCGTAGTTAGTGTGCATTCTTTCGAGACTGGTGTAAGAGCAGTCACATTTGCCAGCTTACAGCATTGTACTGGATACATTTTTTTCGGATTAGCCTTCTGCCAATTGGAGCCATCAAAGTCCATAAAGCTAACCACGCCACAGCATTCGTATTTGATCATAATGTGGTTCCAAACATATGTAATCAAATCGTTCTCCTGCCCATAGTACTCACGAACAGAGTCTTGTAAATATTTCCTTGTTTTTTCATTGTTCGTATAGATATTGTATATTCCCGTTACAAAGAAAATCCAGAAAGAAATAAAAGATAATACTGTGACCAGGAATATGTACGACTTAATGGCACACTTCACTTTGCAACCGGCACCGAGTACTCCACAACAAGAAGTCAACATTGCCAGCACAGCTATTGGCATCAGAATCATCGTCAATGGAGTGAGCCATAACTCTAGGTTGACGAAGTGGGCAATAACATCAACTGAAGAGCTTTTCGTCACGGTATAGTTCACTTCACGGAAGAATTCAGTATTCACTGTGCACCAGAGGCAAATAACAAATCCAATGCCGCCCAATATGAAGAACAAAAGATTTGTAAATCCTAAACATGTTCGCGGTAAACCAACTGTATGCATCTTTATTTGTGTTAAGAGGCTATTTGAAATACAAAAATTAGATTACAGATAAACATATTAATTATAAAAATGACAGACAGTTGATGTTTTTCTTTGACATTTCCACAAATTATTTTTAAAGGTCATCGGCAGATTGTGTCAAGAGAATAAAAAGGAGAATTTTATATCCGTTAGACGTTGTATTCTTTGCAGTAGTATTGACCGACGTTCTTGTTAAAGTAAATGAAAGCGATCCATTTAGTTAAAATTGAAAAGATTAAAAAAAACGCCGAAAGAGACGAACTGTATGATATTACCTTCCTAACGTTTACCCAGTCGTATTTAGGGTCTGGAACGCCCCTTTTCAGCCGGCCGCCTGCAACCTTTGTTGAGGAAGGTAAGCAATATGGTGAGGAAGCTAGTCAAGACCCTGAATGTCCCTAAATTTTGTAAAACGGGATTGAGACCTTGAAGTACACGCGTACCCATACTTTCTGCGGTTAGCGAGCCTCCTAGAATAGGGACACCTACTGGCTATACCTATATTAACAGTCCCGACTGTAGTTTCAGTAAACAACAAAATATCTTCGATACTGAACTTGTCGATGCTGCACAAAGTTGAGAGGAATCAGAATGGTACTTCCAATGAAAATTTATTTCATATTACAAGCAATAACGTCACTACCAAACCATATCCTAAACACAAATCGATAGAAGGTGCCATGCTGATGCTTCTACCACCTCTCTCAGCATAGCTTTTTACAGTTTTTTGACAACTGTTACAATTACTGAATAGAACTTGTGCAAAATTCGTCCATACGACTCACAACAGTCTGTCTTAAATGTCATTAAGTTATGGAAAGTCTCCCAGCAGACCTCGACACGATTTATATTTCGATAAATTTTGCATAAGAAAAAATCCTAATTCAATGAGGCGGTTAAAGGTACATCCAAAGAGTTTTTAAATGATCGGTTCTACAAGTTTTGTAGCAGAAGTGTGCAATGTACCTACATAATTAATTGATAAGATGTCATGATAATCATCATCACCTCAAACTTTTAACGTTCAGTTTGAAGGTCTCTCCTAGTGTATGTAAAAGCGGATGAGGAGAATGACGATCGGGATATCAGTTTCCGATTCTCTGTTCCGCTTTTTGTTGATCGATGTAGGCATGACGTTCATTAAAACAATTGTTTTTTTTTTGGTATAAAACAAGTTTACGCTAGTTACTGCCACAAAGTACCGTGTACACAAAAGAGCTTAAGTGCCGCGCGAAGGTAACTTAAAAGATAATTTACCTGTTTCACATATGTGTTGGCTCTGTTGAAACATGTGAGTAGTTCAGGCGTAGCACGCTCCTGCTGTGTGCCAGTGCCAAGGGTGTAATTGGAGTTATTACCCCACACATACACCTCACTCGGTTGATTGCCTTCATGCTTGTACGTGTATTGACGGTCAAGCATTGCATGTTCGAGAGCTCTGTAGTCATCTTTATCAACTATGTCAGTGTTTGCACCTATAAGTAACACAATGTAAATTTTGTTCAAAAAGTTCGAAAAGATTCCGTTGAAAGAAGACTGACTAACCCAGGCTACAGACTTAGTCGTTTTCAACTTTGATTGCGTAGTACACGGTTGTAGTGGACAACCGGTTGTTTGTGCAGACTGATGGATCTAGCAACATGCTAACTCTTTCCGATTAGGTATAACGTGCACATGGCACACCATGAGTCCTGGTTAGAACGTGAGTCACAAAATAAATAGTAGAAGTTTAGCAATAGTTCAATAACGATTGTAAAGTTACTAATTATGTTTCATAGAAAGTAGTGTGAAGGAGTAAGGTATCCACATAATTTATGGATAGTAAGGCCCAGATTACTTCTCTGTAGGTTAAAGTGCAGCAGTAACTTTTGTAATAAATTGTATTCTTGGTTATTTAGGTACTTTTTCACAGAAAATACTCTGCTCCGGTGTGGTGGGTGTGGAGCGATTTCTTTCAATATAACTGGGTCGAACCTAACTCAAATGACGGCAGCAATGCGCTTTTGACTACACCAGGTACCTCTATACCATAAAAAAACCTTGAATACAAACAAATCTTTAAAAAAGGGCTATATTTTGAATCTGTAAACAAGTGAAGAATATATTGCTTTAAGCTTGAAAAAATATTACAAACCAGCTTTCATGAGATCCACGGCTGTTTGTATCTGTCCATAAAATATACTCCTATGCAACGGTGTATACCCTGATTCACGGTCACGTGCGTTTTTAAAAGCCTCTGAAGAATGTCGAATCAGCCAATCCATCAAACGAAGCCTGCCACAGGAGGCTGCTGTGTGCAAGGCAGTTCGGCCCTACAAAAAAATCGATTTTTTTACATTGTAACATGAAACTTCACTAGTTATCATCTTATATGAAAAGTAAATAACACTTTTTTGTAAGTCATTCCTTGACTTGAATAGTATTAAATATAAATGATGCATCATCAGTATTTTGCACATAGATCTTTGTAGATACACTTTGATTTGTTCTTTCAAGCTAGATACATATATACATATCCTATGGCTAACCTTGACAAGAATTACCAAAATAAACTCAAGGATTAGTGTGAGAAAATATATTAATAATAATTGTATCAAATTCATCATAGTTACATTGTACCCATGAATTTATTTTTAGAAAATAAAAAATTAAGTCAATGCCTCAGACTATATAATTATAACTTTCATTCGCATTTCTTAGATTTTAATAATCAAACGCTACATAGATTTTAAAACTCTATGATATTGTTTCACAATTTTAATGCAAACCTAATATCTTTTGTTTTCTATGGATTTATGGATCTAGAAAAATCAAACTACTTAAATATTCTGCTCTATTAGTAAGTGACAATTTCCATGGTTATAAGCATTATAAAATACAATGACGGATGTTTTAAACCATCCTGTTTTTTCCGAACATAATTTATTTTCATCAAAAACATGTCCAGATGTCTTCACATGATGGACATCCGATTGATGGACATATGTTATTGACACACAGATATTCAACTGTTCACGGTTACAGATATTTAAGTTAGGTACCTTTTAGCATGATGAATTTAAATCTGCTATTCGCATGTTTTAGTCAAATCTACAAAGTTTATTTTATCATCAGTGTAGAAAGTGAGTTTATTTGTTAAGCTTTCACGCCTAAACCATTAAACTTTATTTAAACAATTATTTTACCAATAGAAACCTACATTAACAGCGAGTAACATAGGCTACCTCTTACTGTGCCAACTGACATGAAAGCGGGTGAAGGTGAATGGCAAAAACTAGTTTAATATAAATATAGAAATAACTACTAACTAAACTAAAACCATTTTTCTCATTACAGTTCAATGTAACTGAATTACTATGAAAACATTAATTTACATTATTACCATTGTGACCATAAATTATTATTATTTATTACAAATAAATTCTTAATGCATCACTTTCTTTCTCAAGTTTTAAATTCGTTTTTACCAGGTCTTATATAGCCCTGATTTTATCTATTTTGAATGTAATATGAATGTTGTAATATGAACTATAAATAATATTGACTGGCCTGTGGGTCTAGTGGTTAGAGACCCTGACTGCTAAGCCAGACGTTGTATCTATGATATGTATGTATTTAGAAATATATAAGTATGTTTCTCAGCAGTCTGGTTACCATAGTACAGGCACTGAATAGCTTGGCAACAGATGGCTATGTGTTTGATATGAGAGGTTATTATTATTAATATTCTACCACATTGAGAGCAAGAATCAGATTTAAAGAGTGAAATGTAAAATTTAGTTGTTAGGTTATTTACAGTAGGCGAAGAAAATTTTTGACCCACCTCAAAATCAAATGCTTTGACAAAATTAGCACACGTCCCCTTAATAAAACTGGCCAACGCTTCATCACTAATATCACGTTTGGTAATAGCACTTGTTATAGCTTGTCCGTGAAGACGTGATCTACACCGTATGGTGCAATCCACCTCCACTTTGTGTTTACTCATTATGTTTAGTTAAGTACCCTTAATAAATTTTTGACAATATCTTGGATGATTTGTATTTTTTTTAAGATGGCAGATGAAATCTTATATAGATTATTAGTGAGCAATATACAGGTACAAGTAGAGCGCTGCTCCGGTAGCTCCCGGAGGAGCTACGGTTTTCCTTTTTAGCAGGACATAATTGTTGGATGAACAATCTGTAAAGAAAACAAGAAAAATAAGAAAATGTAAAATTATTTTCATGATCTGGCACTAGAATGGATACAAACATATTTAATTATTTCAACATAAGTAGCTTTATTACACAATAATGATCAACTAGCTAAGCAAGTGACCAGAGGGCCGGCCTTTTTCTGGCACAGAGAATTACCATTGCCATACAACATAGCAATCCTGCCAGTCTTCTGGGAAAGCTACCAGTAGGCGATAACGCGGAGGAATTTTTTGATGCTTGTTAGTAAATATTGTAAGTACTTTAATTTTATTAATATTCTTTATTTTTAATTCAGTTATAAAAGCTTATTAATATTTATGTACCTAATCTAAATAAAAATTCATGATGTACCCCAATAATGATAATACAAATGCAAGATTAAAAAAATTGGATATTATTATTTTTAAACAATTTGGGAGATTGATATTATTCTCAAGGTCAAATGACCTAGGTGACACCGGTAGATCTGTATTTCGTAACTTTATACATTAACTAAACCTACATTGAGGTATGTCTTTCCAGAGTAATGCAGTAACATCCTCTATATAAATAGTTTCAAAAACAGCACAGAATACAGATATTCACCTTTACAAGAAAACAGCTGTTTGATGTCGCTTAGGCACGAAAGAAATTTCAGACATAACTATTCACGTTAAAAAAGAAACCAATTTGAACATTCAATGTTTTTAATGCAGAATCACATAAGTTTCTAACAATTGAAATTATAATAACAGGAAAATATAGAATTTCACGAGATTTCGCAATCACAAAATTCTATTATGACATTCCGGTTAAGTGTTACCACAGGAAACGTTTGTGCAAGATCAGTAGAATAAAACTAGTATCAGTGGTTTCATGACATGAGATATGCTTACTTGTTAGTATTATCATCAGTTTGTTGCACGGGTAATTTTTTTTTCCCCTAGTACCAAGCAGTTTAGGTCTAGTAGTACTATGGAAAAAATCTACCCTTGGTACCCTGGATTCTAGTTATTCCCTGGACTGCACATCGCACCAACGTGTTAATCCTGCAAGAACTCAAGACAAAGCTTTCTGCGAATTCGTTCTGGAATACTTCAACCACATTGCTAGAAAGGATGACGGCAACTTGGAGAAGTTAATGGTAACTGGCAAAGTGGATGGAAAAAGACCACGAGGTAGAAGCACGACACGGTGGACTGACCAGATCCGCACTGCTTTCGACAGCACAGTGCACGATGCTCTACACTCGGTGGCGGATAGAAACGGGTAGTGACTGACTTTGTAGTTCAATATTCTTAGGTGTTAATAACCCTTTTTTGCTCGTACTAGCTCTCTTTGTTATATCAATTTACATGCTAAGACATAAAAATTAGCAATTAATTTAATTAAATCTAATTAGCATTAATGCCTATTATTGAAATACCAGACTATACAGACATACCAACTTCGACTTCACTCGAGAATAGTTTGTTTTCTCAAGTGATAGTTCCCCTCTAGATAATGATAGAATCCCTCACCACCACCGCCAAAACTCACATTGAATTTGACAATACTGACATTTCAATTTTTTTCTGTCAAGTAAAGCTCATGATCGCAGCATATTTTCAATTTGATAGAAATAAAATTGTTACGTAAAAATAACATGTTTCAAGTGATAAAACGCGCGGCGAGTTTGCCTAAAACTCATCTGCTTAAGTAAGTAGATTTAGTGCTTAGATTAGTTCTTAATTTTTGACTGGATGAGTGTAATAAGTAAAATCTAAAGTTCGTGTTTCAAGCTAAAATTATCGTTTCAGATCAGCTCCTGCGTTTTCAACATGCCCTGTGCGCTTCGATAATGACGTTTATAATCGCAAAGAGGCTCCCAAGATTGACAACGAAACTGTACTCTCGTTACCTGAAGAAGCTCGACATAATGCAGCTTTGGAATCAACCATCACTGTCCCTGCCAAGGTAAACGAAGTGTTTATACTACTAGTGTTCTGTTTGGAAGGAAGTGTCTGTTTTGCCATTGTCGTAACATCATACAAGAATGAATCCATTCTGTCATTCTCATGCAAACTCTTTTATTTATAAATTTAAACCAATCTTGAAACTGAAGATAAATTTGTGTGACACCGTAATAAATTAAGTTGTATACTGAGGCACAAATAAGAGGAATAACTATTTCAAATCTGGGCCTCCTATATCCTAATGAATAAATGTTGGTTAGATTGTTTATGCATTTTTTCACATCCTTATATATTTTCTATAGAAGGATATAAGGTCTTTTTCAGCCTGTTTCTGTGAGCAAAAGATATCATTTTCTATTTTTAGTATTGCAGTATATTAGTTATCGTAGTCAAAGTATTGGTGGTATTTATTACTACACTTCTGGCAGTGAATTACAATCCAAGGGTCTCAGGCCTTGAAAGAACTTTCTGCTTCTTAGTTCCCTATAATACAAAAATCTTGTATTAAGAAGAGTTCTAAACTTTATGTAGCATGAAGATATTAAACAGGTTGTTAACATGTTTCAGGTGGATCTGACTCCTATCAGCGGTGTTCCACCAGAGCACATCAAATCACGTCGTGTTCGCATCTACCAGCCTGCTAAGAATGCCATGCAGAGTGGCACCAACAACATTAATCATTGGGAGATGGAATTCGACAATCGCCAACGTTGGGAAAATCCCCTGATGGGATGGACTTCCTCTGGAGATCCACTTTCTAATATGAAAGTTCAATTTAGAAACCCTGAGGAAGCTATCGAACATTGTGAGAAAAATGGATGGTGCTGGTACATTGATACTCCAAAGATACAGAAACCAATGAAACCCAAGAGTTACGGTGTTAACTTCTCCTGGAACCGTCGCACTAGGGTTTCCACTAAGTAAATAATGTTAGTATAATTTTATTCATGGTTAATTTAAAATGTTAGTAATTTGCATAGTTAAATTTGTTTGTCTTGTTGTCTTTTAAGCAATATAAAAGTTTAGGAAGCAGCATATTTTTATTTTATTATAAATTCTAAAATAGTTTACCCTGAATTTTTGTTGATATTCATGATTAAATAATAAAAATATTATCTTATGTTAATTTATTTAAGAAGTAAGTATTGTTTACAAATAATTGTGATCTAGGAGTACTATCATTTACAGAAAACTTTTGCAGATGTTATAATGGCACACGCCATGGCACAGTGGAACAAGCTCACAGAGTATGTGACGCCATAAGAAAGTCCTTAGAACAACGGGAATACTGCTCGTCAGCGTTCTTGGATATCCAGCAGGCATTTGACAAGGTCTGGCACAAAGGCCTATTATGTAAGATCAAGCAGAATATTTCCCACGCTTACTTTCATATATTTAAATCTTACCTCGAGGATCGCATATTTTATGTGAAGGAAGGTGATGCCACTTCTGGGTTCCAAGAGATTAACGCCGGGGTACCACAAGGATCTGTTCTCGGCCCCATGCTCTACACGTTATACACTGCTGACCTACCGTTAATACCAGGAATAACTACAGCTACATTTGCAGACGACACCGCTTTATTAGCAAGTAACAAAGATCCAAAACTGGCATCGGAAAACTTGCAGAAGGGCCTTAACAAACTAAGCGAATGGCTCCAAAAATGGAAAATAAAGTTTAGTGCTGCGAAGTCCGTGCAGGTGACATTCACCCTTAGAAAGGGAGACTGCCCACCTGTAAAGTTGGGCCAATGTGCTCTGCCACACAGTGACCATGTGAGATATCTTGGCTTACACATTGATCGCAGACTAACCTGGAGGCACCACATTCAATGTAAAAAACAGGAGCTTCAGCTAAAGCACAACAGCCTATACTGGATGCTAGGAAGGAACTCGAGACTCTCCTTAGACAACAAACTGCTTATATATAAGGTCATCCTAAAGCCCATTTGGACATATGGTCTGCAACTGTGGGGCAGCGCAAGCGATACCAACTTAAATATACTACAACGCCAACAGAACAAGATCCTAAGATCAATTGCGAAGGTACCATGGTGCATAACCAATAACGAAGTTCACGAGCACCTGGAAATGAAAACAATCAAGGAGGAAATTCGGAGTTTGGCAGCTAAATACAAAGAGCGATTAACCTGTCACCCTAACGTACTCGCTCGCCTACTCACCATGGACGAGTATGCGAGACGACTAAAACGTCACCATATCCTAGAGCTAGATGGCCGGCAGTAGCTCTGGGTAGCAGATGAGTAGATGCTTCCAATGGGAAGCTACTCCGCACGACAGCATCACACAGCATATTTGCTCATAGCCTTTGGGCTGATCGCAAATAAACGCAAAAAAAAAAAAAAAAAAAAAAAAAAAAAAAAAAAAAAAAAAAAAAAAGATGTTATAATGCTACATCCACTGTTTTGAACTTAAAGACATGGTCAAATACTACGCTTGAATTATTAATATGGTTAAGCCACGTAATAGGATAACTAGATGCTGACAGAATGCAATCTTGATTCTTAATCTTAGTTTAAATCTTATTTGGTACTTCTACATACACCTCTAGTTTTTGATGCCCTCCAGAATTGACTATGTATACCATTGCATTGAATAATTACCAAGCTAAGATATCAGATAGTGGCAAGTACTTTCATACAGGTGTAGTGGAGTTTATTTAGAATAGCTTCGTAATGCTTCTTGAGTTGGGAAATATTATAAATTGAGTGATGAATTCATATTGTGGAAAAAGGACATTTCATTTTCTGGCTCAGAAAAAAATATTTTCTTGTCATCTAGGTAAGTTGAATGAATAAAGTAGCTGGGTGGCTGCTTAAGGATTAATGTTAGAGCATTACAAATGTCACAGTCATGTCTTAAAGAGTTGAGCATATTGCAGGAGCATTAAACAAATCATTGATTATATATTGGGAAAGCCACACATTAACGCCATCTAGTCCCAAACTAAGCAAAGCTTGTACTATGGGTACTAGACAAGCGATATAACTACATATAAACTTTTTTTTTTGTAAATACATACATATTATACATAGAAACACCCAGACCAAATCAAACATTAAATGTTCATGGACACATATGTTTGATTTCAGCGGGAATCGAACCCGCGACCGTTGTAATAACAGTTCGTTAAAACCAGTACTCCATCCAGTCGTCGTTATAAATTATATTTAATAGATATGTTAGTATAATAAATTAATAAAGCTTCTTCGACGACATAAGATTTTTAATTAAATGATAGTTAATAAACAGCAATGCTTTGTTAATTTGACAACATATCATGGTTCACTAGATGGCGCTGTAGTAAATTCTGTGATGTGTACATAATGTTGCCACATATACATTGCCATGTGATGCCACTTTTTTTTTTGCGAGCCTGTAGGTTCTGTAAATACCAAATCTACGACATCGTTTATTTATAAAAAATATAAGCCCGTTACTTAACCCTCTTAAGAAAAAGTGGGTTAAGAAAAGGATAATGAGGTTATTGAGATAGATGAATGTGATGCCTTATTTGATTGACGGACACAAATATGGTGCTGGTAGGTAAAATAAAAATGCGTCATTTTCTATATTTTCATTTAATCATAGTTTTCAACATGGTTAATTTATATTTTGTACCTCGGAAGAAAATCATATTTCGCAGGTCTCACTTAAAATTTTTTATTTACATATCATACAATTTAAACATATGTTACACAAATCGAACCATGCTCAACACATGCTTGAAATATTGCAATTTCACTAACTACAATGGTTTTACATGTACATCGTACATAATTATAAATTAATTTAAGGGCTTGCACACACGATCGCTTCAATCGTTTAAACAGTATGCCTAGTTATTGACATCCCAAAAATTGACGTTGCTAGTATCTTGGATGCATAACCTTGTGCGTTCAATTTTAAAATGAGCAGCGGTTTATCGAAATTCGGTCGGTGTGCACGAGCCCTAAAAGTGATCACTAACAACCTCTTCAAAATTTATTTTTAAGTAGATAAAATATGAAAAATTATTGCGTTCTTTTTCTTTATTTACATAGTATTGAATTATACGGAGAAATGTATCTATACTATAAGAACAACATTTATCATGCTTGCTTCTCTTTTTAAAATTTAAAATATATAATAGTGTTTTGTTATTGAGCTATTATTAAAGCAAATGTATAAAATTTGTCGTAAAGCGATGTGGTAGAAAGACAATATGCTATAAGGTGTCAGCATCTAAATTTCTAGCGTAATTAAATACAGGCGTCGAAAAATCTAAGTATAAATTAATGAAAAACATTTTGGTCATGAGTTAGTAAATTGAGATAGAAAATATTTAAAAAAAAAAACGAAGTTCTTGGTCCTTGCTAAATGGAACATACGAGTATATCTGGGGTTTAAAGTGAACCTGCTCAAGTAAACTTTCAGAGAATTTAGAAATTTCATTTAATATTTTATTTAGAAATCAGCTAAATTCTAATATTTTTATGAATTACTTAAATCAGCGCACCACATCTGTTGATAGAATACTTTAAACGTCATAGTTTGGATTTCGATAGCTTGAAGGTATTGTTTGCATTCTTAAAGTGATTGATGACAGTTAAAATTGTAGTTTTGACACTAGAGAAGTGTTGCGGAAGGCAGGTAAGGGTACATTAGGTACCTATTTGGATAACTCTCTATTCTCTAGATTCTAGAGAATAAAGAGAATAGAGTCTAGAATAATAAACAATATTAATTAAAATGCTAATTCGCTTGAAGTTTCAACGACGAATGACATGATTTAAGGATGTAAAAAATTAGAAACCGTCGTGAACTGTGCGTGACTATAGAGTAGTATAGAGGGTTGCACCACAAGGTCGCTATAAATTGAAAAAAGTTGAAAAGTTTTGTTTGCTTTGTGGGCTTAGGAATTAATTGCTTCCGTATTTTTGTTAAATGAAACAAAAAAAAATTTTTTTTTTAATTATGTTTTAGAATTTCATTCATAATCATGACGTAACCCAATGATCGAAAACATTGAAGTCCCTGAAATCCAAAATTTTTCAAGGCAGTCTCAAAAACAGAAAATAGTTAATAGGTATGCCTCAAGCTTTGACCACTATTTAGGAAGGTATGAAAATACTTAGTTTACTAGACAAATTCACTAAATGTTTTAAAGGTTGAGAAAACCAATTTAATGGCAGCACTATGTTTAATTAGCATAATTATTAGATGTTTTAATATACTTATAAAATATATAAAAAAGTAAAACAAAAAATATGTAGAGTTGGTACGTTTAGAATACCCTCATCTGAGAACTGCTAGATCAAAGAACATTAATGTTAAATCCTACCTCAGATGTTTATAAAAACATGCAACATAGATAAAATAATAACGTATAGAGAAATTAAATTAAATACGTTAGTATAGAGAAATTAAATTGCATGTATTCGAACTCTATAGGAAACTGCGAAACGCGTTCGAAATATGACAATCCTTCTTTTATCGTTATATTATCGAGAGCTTGATTTTTCTATTTAATAATAATTTATTGTTTGTCTAATTTGATTTATTATTATGATATTTTAAACAAAATCTTAAATACCCAAGTATCATATTGAAATGCGCCTACGGGTTTTTTATTTTTTTTTATTCTATAATAATTATTGACTGAGTATTTTAGTTTTTATTGTACATCATGTCATCATCATGCGCTCATTACAATAGCTTTATTGATACTGTGACGTGATCAGTCATTCTCATATATAAATACTATTTACATCAACAAATTGATTTTTAACCAACTTGAAACTGGTCTCGAATAGCGTATCTACTTAAATAAATATTTAAATTTCTTAAAAAATGCTGTCCTATCGAGCTTTGGATCGTACAAATTGATAAAGCAAACATATTTGGAAACTTAAAAGGTACGGTGGTGGTACCTATTATTTTTAAACTAAAAAATATATATAACATTTGTATATATATATATTATACGAAGACTGTTCAAAAATCTGTTGAGTAATCTACATATTTCGCGGCAACTCTTGTATGGTCTTTTAATTTTTAGAGCATCATTATCATGATCATCATCAACAGGCTATAACAGTCAACTGCTGGTCATTGGCCTCTCTTTAGACAGGAGGTTTAGGCCTATACTATACCACGATGGCCACACTGGTAGTTATACGGTTTGTATCAAGTTTTCTTTCTCTTTGCAGTGCTATTCTCTTGCGTAGTTTGCTCCCTTAGTAGGCTTTTCCGACACCCATGGGATGAATAGGGGTGGTGACACTCCATATTCTTAATCCGTCACCACATGGACTATTTTTTAAGTTGTATTGTTTAAATATAAAAGGACTGTACAAGTATCATTATTTTGTGCGATCAAAGGCATCGGATTCAGCAATATTAATCTAATAAAGCTTCTACAAACGAATTTATCTAACTGCGTGTATTGCAACTTGCGTGTTGAGCGTTCCACAGCTCTCTCACATCGTAAAGCTATTGAATTCGACGAGATACTAATGAAAATTTATTGCAACATTTCTGGAAGTTCCCGGTTTTACTGTATAATCTATCTATTTTATAGTGTTGAGATAAATGGGAATTTAAGTTCTGTATTTAGATCAAAAGTAGTCTTCTTTAACGTTAATTCCGAAACCTAGAACCCTTAATGGGTACTCACAATAAAACGAACCCATCTATCTCAACTTATACCATCAACGGGGCTAGTTAATTAAAGTTAAAAATCACAAAATAGCGGCACACTGCCATGAGCAGGCTTGATAGTCAATGCTCGGCTGCATTCGAAACTACTCGGGAGCACTCGGTGAGAGCTCGGGAGTCGAGGATCAGCTGGGGCGGGAGTCGGGTCGTTCTTCGGATTCCCGATGCACAAGAACACGAACAATAGTCGGCGGAGCTGCAGGCGGGGGCGGAGCGTCCGGCGAAGCTTCAGTCACAAGTATGCTCACTGCACTGTTGTTAGGTTGTGTCGCTTGCTCAGGAACGGCCTCTGTTGCGGTTGGTGTTACTGGTGTTTGTTGCTGAGGAGATGGCGTACGTGCACGAGCGGGCGGGGTCATACGCCGCGTTGAACTGCGCCGAGAGCTTAGTCGAAGGGAACCTAAGAAATGAAAGAATTAATTAAAGATACTTTTAGAAAGATCTGTTTTAGCCAGTTGAACTGTTATCATTTGTGTCTAATAAAGCCTTGTTGTGTTGTTTTCTTAGTGGCTAAGCGCTCTACTTTTTGTTGGTTTTGACTAATTCTATTGTAGGTATATAAGTAGTGATAATTTTGATTAATAGAATAAGAGCAGCTATTTAAATTGTGTTTCCTTTTGGTGTCGTGTCGTGCCTCTGATATGTGTAAGTACCGCCTTTTTTATAATTTATAAATTACTACATAAAAAGACAAGATTTAATATCAAATGGTTATACTTACGAATTCCTGTGATGCATTAAAAGCGAACGAAAAAGTATATCGAATAACAATTTCTACTCAGACTTAGGTACACATTACATTAAATTCATGCTGTAATTTAGCTACAGAAGCAGATAACTAGAGGGGCTACTGCAATAAGCATGCTGAAGCTTCACGCACACTCCTGCGATTTAAAAAAATGAGCTCTGAACTTATTGCCAATGTTCAAACACGCCATCTAAAAATTGACATATAAAAATTAAACTCATTTGAATAATTTTATTACAATAATTGAGAATGCTGTCAAAATACTAATTAAAAACCTTCGAGTTAAATTTTGAATCAAATGAATTTAGGTACCTGTGAGCTTCAACACTGAGCGATTAGTGTGATCTAAATTAGTGTTTAGATAATCCAATTTCATGCACATAGATAAAAAATGAGGAATCACGCTAACAACACAAAGTTTTAAAAGAAATGGTCTATGCTTCCAAACATAATTTGGGGATAATTCACCAAAGAACGATACAAATAAATTCCTACATTACTTCTCACCAAAATGGCTTCACTAACCGCTCAGTGCTATATATTCTAATGGTACTGGGGAAGAGACACGGAAAGCAAAACATTACATATGAACCTGCGCGTTTCGGTCCAGTCTCTTCATCCACCGCGTCCTGATGTCGTAGAAAGATCGGCAGCCCATATGCGGATCGTCGTCGGAGAGGCGCTGTATCTGAACCGCTTGCCTGTTCCGTCAGACAAGTTTGTATGAAGAAGTAAGGATTTTAGGACTGTCGGAAATTCCCAAAATCTTTACAACAGGCAAAAAAAGAAATGTACAGTCTACGCTTTAAACTGATAATAAGATTTTCTAGATAAATGAAGAGATACTAATTAAAAATACTAAACACACTATTTGAAAATACCTATTCGGAATAATATGAAAAGGCATAAAGGGGTACTGCGAATGAGTCCATAAGTGACTGTGTAAATTTGAGTACGTGTTTACTAAACTACTCGTTTTGAAGCTTTGTTATTCACCACATTGGCGAACACTTGTTGATTGATCAATTTAGCCAGATATTTCGTTTAATACAAAATCCCTACTTTATGGACTTAACTCTTATATAAAAGGTGTAGAAAAGGTATTCTATACCTGTTCACCAGGTGTGGCTCCCGGCAATAACAGTAATGGTAAATTTAACCAGGCTCCTCCTAACTCACTGACGTCTGATGCATCAGAAGCTCGCGAAGACTTTCGACTGGATGCATGTGATCCTCTTCGAACGTGCAGTAACGCGCTAAGCCGACCACCCCAGCCCCCACCTGGAGACCACTTCGTGCTCTCTTCTTCATTTGAAGGACTGCGATTCTTTCGCCTGAAATTGATACAATTGAAACTGAGAATAACAAAAAATAATCTAACCAAATTGGATTATTCCGTCGTTAATTTTACTTAAACTAATTTTACACAATACATATTGTTTTATCTACTACATCAGCATCATACAGCACTATCAAAATATACGCGAGAACTCTGCTATAATCTGGTTACTTAAGTGGCGTGGTATAATACACTGTGCGAGTACAATGTTCTCTTGAGCTGATCAATTTTCATGAAAACAGATAAGTTTAACAAAATGGCCAGTTATACACTATCTTTAAACAAGGTTTAAGTCTTTTTAAAGTCTGATCTGGTATACGCTGATACTTACTTCACATAATCCCTCCATGCTCGTTGTACAGTTCTCGCTGCCTTATCCTCTCTTTTCCATATTCTGGTCGAGGAAACTATCTCAAGTTCCTTTCTTGTAGGGAACTGCTTTTTAAATTTAATATCCATCTGCTCTTGAAGTTGTCTGAATGTCTCAGTTTCTTCAACATGCCCCAAGACATGTTTGACGAGAGCGTGTAGTATGTCTAAACAGTGTATTTTGTTGCCTTTTGCGATTGGCAGGTTAAAACTTACTAAAGCCACTGTGTTGGGTTTTGAAATGCCTAGCGGAGGGTCTAACGAAGCAATGAAGTCTGATAATTGAGCGAAACTTATGAATTGAGTTGCGTGTGGATCGTACCTGGAATGAACATGTATATATATTTATCTCGAGAATTATCTCTAATTAAAAAAGGCTACTGAAGTAATTCCCCTATTCTATTTACTAGGACGAAAGCTTAAAAACAAATACAAATTAAAAATAAACGAGAACATACTTTGACCATCGAATGTAAAACATCTCAAGATCATCCTCGACTATACCAATCTCTTCCTCTTGGTGGGCCTGGTTGAAGTTTTCCAGAATAATAGCTATGTACATATTGATGACAATCATGTAGCTGATGATGATAAAAGAGGTGAAATAGGTGATTGCCAGAAGGGGACTACCGCAGTTGCCATTATGGCCATGTTCCCCTAGTTCACATTCGGGGGGTGAAATCATTAAGGATTCTAGAACGTCGTTCCACCCGGCTGATGTCATCAAACTGAAAAATAATAATAGTAGATTATACATAGGTACATTTAATATAGTAAGATAAGTAAAGTAAATGTCTTATTGTTTACGTAATACGTCAATACTCAGTGTATCAAGAAATATAATATTAATTTATGATTCAATTACTATTTTTTAAGAAATGATAAGCCTCGCTATTACCCTGTAGAGGCTGTGCTTAGTTTCGACTTAGATGAGTATGAGATGTATCAAGTTAAAAATAAAAATAATTATAAAGAATATTCAACTTCAAAAGTTGTAATGAAAAACTTACCGGAAAAGTAATTGCATACTTCTTCCAAAGGTTTGAAAGTTGACAATATCATTGAGGGCACCGTGCTCCTTGACGTGCCCAAAAACAGACATACCAATGATAGCATAAATAAAAGTGATGAGCGCTAGCAAAGCTCCGATGTTGAACAGTGCCGGGAGAGATACTACTAGAGCGAACAGCAGTTTTCTAATACCCTTAGCGGCCTGTAATCAAAAATATTAGTATTCAAATCAAATTATTTAAGACAATTTCTGTCATTGTCTAATTTTAATTTTGTAAGTGCAGTTTCATTCAATTTAGTTAGTTAGTTAATTCGAAAAAAAATCACAAATAAATTGTATCAATTAAATTTTATTTTTAATTCATTATTTAATTAGTTGTTTTCAAGAATACTTACTTTAATCAGTCTTAAAATTCTCCCTATTCGAAAAACTCGAACTACTCGCAGTAATGTAGGTGATATCGGCAGGTCTATCATGATGTCTTCCATTAATATCCCAAGAATTGACGCTAATACTAACAGGAAATCGAATACATTCCACGGCACAGTAAAGTAGTGGTATCGAAGACCTATTATTTTCACTATTGCCTCTGAAATTTTTAAAGTGTTAATAACTACATGTAAAAATGATTTAATTAGCGATAAGCTTTTTAGTACAATCCTTACCTAAACCAAATACGGTAGTAAAAAACGCATTACTGACTTCTAAAATAAAGAATACGGAATGAGGCTGATCATAGTGTTCTATTCCCATAGTAAGCATGTTCAAAAAGATAAGAACAAAAATAGCAATTTCGAATCGTCTCGAGTTTGATAGGTCGTAGAACATGGCTAAAAACTGGTTACGAGGCCTTTTTATTACTTTTTGGGGCTTTTTTCTACCAAGTTTCTTCATCGCTGTATAGTAATGCTTTTGACTTTCTGTTAAAAACATTTCTAATACTCCACCTTCATACTGAAATAAAATCACCATTACAAATCTATACCATTAAAATATTGTTATATTTATAATCGTATCTAAGTATAATTGAATTACCTTTTTCTTGAGCATATTAAAATTGTCTATAATAACTCCTATAAACAGATTAAGCGTGAAGAATGAACCACAAACAATAAATATTACAAAATAAATATATGCGTAGAGGTTAGCTTCTCTCTCTGGCTGTAGGTCCACTCCTCGAGCGTCCACCGCATCAGCCATCACTTCCATCCATCCTTCAAACGTTGCGACTTGAAATAACGCTAGATATGCTATACCAACGTGGTCAAATGAAATTTTCGAATTTATCCACGTAAAGTTATTATAATAACACTCCCATTTATTAGTAACTACCTGAAACCGAAAAAGCTACTGTAATATTTCATAGTTTTGTTTATAAAGAATTAAAGACGAAAACTCACCTCTAAAGGCAACAACTCTCCTTCATCGTCGACGCATTTGTAGAACTTTCCGCCAAAAAACTGGACTCCCATAATAGAAAATATTAACCAAAAAACTAAACAAACTAACAATACATTAAAGATACTAGGTATAGCGTACATGAGAGCGTTCACTACGATACGCATGCCCTGCCACCGCGATATCGCGCGCAAAGGTCTCAATGCACGCAATGTTCTCAACGATCTTAACACTTTTAGATTTTCATTTTCTTCAATCAACAAACTGAAAACTGAAACCTGAAAGCGGAATCAAAGCATTAAATAGAGAAGTTACCAAAGCGATGGTTAAGATGATGTAAAGAATGTCAACTTACGAATACGATGGTAAAATCTAATAAAGTCCAGAAACTGGTGAAGTATCTGAAGAAGCCCAATGCTATCCACTTGAGGAACATTTCAATGACGAAAATCATACAGAACCCCAAGTTTGTCCAGTACAGTATCTTCTTTAGCGGCTTATTCTTCTCGAGGTGGATATCTTCAAAGCACAGCGTGATACTCGACGCGAAGATTAGCACCAAGACAAACCACTCGAAGGCAGGAGTATCTACGTACCGAAGTATGTAGGTACGAATGAACATCCATCGTTGACCCAATTTTGTTCGAATACATGCATCCCAACAAGAACTCCTAAAAGTACAGGGTATTGCCCATCACAATAATCTTTTAGTGAGTTAATACCTACCTAGGTTTTCGCTTACTTGATATATGTTCAGTTGAATCTACTTCCTATAACTGGAACCTTTTACTTTGTTACCTAGGTTCCGAAATGTAGGGTAAACATAGTAAATATTATTTTAAGCAATGGTCATAGCAATAAAGTTAAATGAGTTACTTTACTGGATGCATGAGCATTAGACTGTTGAGAAATGCAGAAGGTAAAACACATACATCAGCTTACAAGGAAACTAACAACACCATTACCAAAAGAAGAGGAATGTAATTATTAGTAATCGATCATTACAAGATTCTCGTACAAACTACATTAAAATGGAAATGGAAGCCAATATGGTATGGAGTACTCAACAACTTTTACTTGCACAATAAATACATACGCATCGTAACATTGACGTGGAAAACAGTCCTGGGGTACTTTCGGCTCTTTCATTTTCCCGAATCCAGGAAAATTACCCATTGCATCAGCATATTGACCCTTGGAGTTTTTTCTTCCACCTACGGTTAATTCATCTACATATGAGACTAAAGTTTGCCATGGATGCTTCATGTCCTGGTCATCTGGTCGTTTCACCGTTTCCTTACATAAAGTGTTTGGTGGTTCTTCTCTCGGACGTCTTGTTTTTTCAGGCGTTGTTTTACTTGATAGTTGCGCCATTTCGTAGTGCTCGTTTTCATCTACAACATTTATTACAAAATTTATGTTGAGTTTTAAAAAACGTTAAGACCATTATATAGTAACAGTACTTAAAATAAAACTTTACCTCTCGAATCAGAGGGTTGTGTATGATAACCTGAAGACATCTGGTTTAATAATTTTTGGGCAACAATTTGTTCTGTTGGAGACGTGTCCTCGAGATTTTCTTTAGAATCCTCTCTAATGCTAGTTATCTTGTGTTCCGTTGCCAAGTCACGAACGTCTTTTAAAGTTTCTTGACTACCGTGATTAAAGCTATTTCCCGTTTGGTAAAGATGCGGGTAAGTGAAGTCTGTCCCTACTGATATTGGTCTGAAAATTAGTTTTTAATTGAGATAAATTTCGTTTGAGTCATTTTAAGATTTAATATTTACGTCTTTTATACAAACCTATTCAACGCTTCTTGATAACTACGGCTATATATATTGTCGTGAGGAAACAAGATGGTCTCCTGTACAGATGCTGAATACCTCGATTCACTCGTTATTGATGCCTTTTTCTCTTTCATAGCGCGTTGTTGTAACATAAATTCGTTAACTAGCTCTTCTAACTTAGATTTTTTTTCAGTCTCTTTGCTTCTCGATATAAGGAAACCTTTTTTTCTTACTATAGAACGTATTCTATCGAAACTTTTAGCTAATTTTGAATCCTCACCAACTTCCTAGAATTTGATGACATGACAATTAACATGTATTAATGTAATATTTAACATAACATTCGTAGCACAGTCCACATTACCTCTTTTTTATTCTTAAGTTCCTCACTGTTAAAGCTATTGAGCAGTAAGGCAAGAAAGAGGTTGAGCACCATGAAATTGCCCATAACGAGTGCTGGCAAAAAAATGAAGAAGCAACTCTCTGCTCCGGTGGCCTGCTCAGCACGCATACAGTCCCACAATGGCTCGATCCACTCTCCGCACAGAATCCGGAATATCATCATGAACGAGTGGAAGAAATCGTTGAAGTTCCACCTTCACCGATTAAATGATCAAGATATGTTTTTGGAGAAAAAAAAGCATGCAGAGTAAAAGCAAAATACATTGAGTTTAGATTTTGCATGCAAAATTAATATTATTATTAAGTAAATACTCAGAGTGTAACATTGAAAATGGAACTCACTTGAAAATTTAAGATACGTAAATCTTTATACGCATACAATTAGGTATATTATTACATACTTCTTCGAATGAAGGCAGCCCTTCAATTATTTTCAAATTACGTCACACCATTTATTTATGTTATGTACTTTTTACAATGTAGCAACTTTTTGTTTCAGTAATATTTTGGCATATTTTGCCTTGGTTTATTGGTTCAGTTAAAATATGAATTTACAAAAAATTGCTCATCTTTGAATAAAGGGTAAATTCTAAATGTAAATAAATTGGCTTTTTTACCTGGGTACGGGGTCCGGGTCAAACTTATCCGGCGTGTATGACTTAGAGAAGAGTTGCATGCCGATAACAGCAAATATGTATATAACTATCACTAACACGAACGTCAAATTACCAAGAGCACCGATTGTCGATATTATAATACTCAATAACACTTTCATTGTAGTCCATGATTGAGCTAACTTTAACACTCGCAACTGGAACAATAATTATTATAATGATATATGTTTTTTGTAGTAAAAATAAGTGTAATTATTGCAAAAAAAAAAAACAATAGAATATTTATTTTACACTTCATTGTTTTTTCGATAACTCACAAAAGTGTAGAAAGAAACCATCACCTAATGAAAACAAGTGCGTTGCCGGCCTTTGAGATAGGACCATTCCCAAGCCGGAGTATGCTCTTTTCCTGGGGATAGTATCGGTTCAGAAAAACAGCTGTCGCAACTTGTTCCACACGATATTAGTAATACAAGGCAAAAAGTTTAATAAAAAGTGCAAATTGAAACCTGTGGCTAGTATAGCACTCCTCATTATATAAGCGATAAAGAATGCAGAGTGAAGCTTCATCTCTACGCAATGCTAAGGGGTCGTGGTATTGCACAGCGATTCTTATACCAACTTGTTAAAATTTTGTCCTTACTAAGATTTGGGAGTAGGCTAAATAAATGGTATAATTTAAATTTGAAAAATACTTACCAACCGCAGTCCTCGCAATACGGATAGACCATCAACGAGCTCAAATATAAGATCCAACAGACTTGCCGACACTATGATCAGGTCAAATATATTCCAGCCGCAAGCAAAGAAATCCTTGCTCATCGCCATCACTTTCAATATACATTCTAAAGTAAATATCGACGTGAACACCTGTAAATTTTAACCACTTATGCATCTCTTCAATAATTCCATAATAGACTCTAAAGGATTTGTTGTTGAAACAAATAAAACTTTAGCTTATTATTTTTTTAGTTCTCATGGATACTGGCTGGTAATGATTCCATGAACAGTGGAAGTTGTCATTACATTTTTCATGGCTGTTACATTACAAAATCATTCGGTATTCAATTTTGATACCACTTATCTTAATATTTTATTTCAAAATTAAAATGTATTAAAAACAATTATGGTCGATTATCACAGCGAAAATCTTATTCTTTCCAGAAAACTGTCTCATTTATGTACTTGTAAAACTAAATGGTGAACTCATACCTAATTCTAAGCTACTTAGTTGTATACTATTATACTGATGTAGGTTTTTTGTTGTAATATATTGCACTTGTGATTACCTTATTTCCTATATCTAATGCCTGCCTAACATTCTCACTCATACCATGATGCTCGAGAGCCAGGAAAAGTGTATTGAGAATAATGCAAGTTGTTATAAACAACTCGAACAATGGGTCCTTCACTATTCCATACAAGCAGTTCTGGCACTGAAGCCATCCATCGTAATCTATACAGCAATTGACGCAGCACTCACAATTCCTGTCTAGCAGTTCATCTGCGATCAAATTTAAACACAGTTATTGAAATAAAGTACCAAAATCAAAAAAAAAAAACAATATTACAACGACATGTAAAACGAATCAAAGAAACAGATTAATTTAGAACAAGCAAAAGCATAGCGAGGCAAATTCATATCTCGATGCAAAGCTTCCGTTATGCTAATTCAATCAATCACTCCTGTAATAAATAAGTCTTCATGCAATTATAAGCGAAGGTTGGGACTGTAACAACTGTAACAAATATGCAGGAAAATTGCACTGTTATGCAAGGAAAACAAGCATGGTAAAACAAGAAAACTTTTGCTTTACCAATCACGTAAAACAGTGTAAAAAGTATAGTATACGATACACATAGACTGATCAATTGTGACTGAAATTTTAATGTATCCAAATTGGAATCGCATAAAAGTATTACAGGTATGTTAAGAGAATATGTAATGTAAAAGAACTTGAATGCGATTCTGGAACAATGACAAGACGACAACTAGTTAACCAATCGCAGTCACCCTGCAGTCTTCCTGTAGGAAACAGGGGTGGACTGGGGGGTAGAGGCGTTTGCGTCAGTGTTTTACTAACCTGTGAAGTAAGTGCAATTTTGCTCGAAATTGCCCATATGAGTTTTGTGCGTGGCTGCCAATATACTGAGCTCATTAATTTTCGTCGTCTCCGCTTGCGGGAGGTCGGGTGCGCGCTTGTATGGCCAGTCCGCCCCTGACGATATTAATGAGGTAGAAGCAAGATTGCAACGTGTAGAATTAAAATGCTCAATGAAGTGTCTCTTCATTGAGAGTGAAGCTACTGGTGAATGGTTCTAGACATGGAAACAACTCTTAAGATTTTATCTTTATTATAAACTTTATTCTGTTGATATAAAATTGTTATTTCCATGACAATATTGCAGTACTTAAAGTTGTTTTGATTGCGTAATGTAGTTCCAGTGTCTACAACCTTGGTAGCTTTTACAAAATTTAGTATTTTTTTAAATCACAAATATGAAAGTCCACAGTATAAAAATGAAAACTGCAGAATTACAAATGCGGCCTCTCCCACATTAATATTTTTAGTCAGATAAAATATTAAGGCTGTTCCCCTTCACAAAATATTATTAACAATTTATTACATTCCAAAAGAAAATATAACTTAAACATTATAGCTAAAGCTACCAAGGTTATCCACGACAAACTGTTTGATTTGGTCTTTATTAAATACATAGAAATATCAAAATCAAACGGTTTATAGATGGATGATTGTTCAAAAATCAAAGAGGAACCTTACGTAAAATGCTCCTAACTCCAAAGAAAATTTCATCTGTTGCAAATGCAAATTGAAACAGAGTGAATAATTAGATTTTTAGAAGAAAAAGTACTCAAGTCAAACTATCTAATAATTTAGCAATATTGTAATTAAAAATATTTGTACAAAATTTAAATTTAGAAAAATAGAAAATTGCAGGGAATGCAAGCATCGAAAGTTCAATAGATGTCTTAGGAAATATCTTACTCCTAAGTGTCGCAATTCTGTGAAAAATTGTCATGCATAATTATAGCCAATTAACTTACGTACGTATCTAAACTAAGGTATTTTGCATATCTATATGTCCTATAGAATGCATTCGGTAACATTGTGTTGAAGGCTTCCGTGTTTGCAAAGCGTTAATTTTGTTAGATAATGGCAGCATCGTTTAGTTTCAGTGTAATTTGTCTTGTGCTTTTCAGTGTCGAAGCCGTGCCAATGAATTTAATTAGGTTGTGTATTGCCATCAAATGTTTGATTACCATTTGATCGTCTTTAATTTAGTCGGTCATATCTACGTCATGATGTCAATACACAAGTAGATAAATTTGAGAAAGTGAAAATTTATTATTACGCAAAATATTGAAAAGTAATTTACCTAAAACCACGATCTGGCTGAGGTAATCTGGGTTCAGTGGATACTTTTCTTGAATAGATCTCTCGGCTTTTTTTGGTTTATCCACAGCCTTTGCGGGTTTAGGCGGAGTTTTAGTTTTCGGCTCTTGTATTGTTTTCCTCTCTTGCGCAACCTATAAAATAAGACATATGAGCGAACCTGACAAATTATCACCGTATTTAGTACTGACCTTTGTTTTACCGTCATTTTTGCAATTAATGCAATTTGCTACGATGGTAGGATAAAGGTTGATGGTATTTCATTTCCTTATCATTTTGTCAAGCAGCGCTATTACTCAGGCATAGCTTTTGAATTTATTCTAGTTTTTTTTGGGATCTGCTTAGTTAACAGTGTTTCTTAAATAAGTTTTTTTTTCTTAAAATAGATTCTTCCTCAGTAAATATAAAGCTTAGTACTTGTATTTGCGGCGGCTGTGTCGGCTGATGCGGTGGGTGTATTAGATGCAGATGTCTTCTAGGGTGTGGATGTGGATGAGAAGCTTGGTCATCCGACGTGTGCTCCCCCTCATCGTGGTCATCCACAACCCCTGAGTCATCTAATGAAGACTCTCGGTTATTACTGTGGTCACTTAGTTGCCGACCAGCGGCGCTGAGTGCCCCTCGACCTAGTATAAGAAAATTCGGACATTTATAAATGATTTTTTTAAGACAAGTGACGATCCATCAAGGGACTATTTTTAGGAAGAACCATTAAAATTCTTAACCCTTAAAAGAAAACAATTCTATCATGTTTTACATGACCATACGCTACATGAAAAATATTCTCCAAGCTAATATTGAGAAATGTCTTTCACAGTTTCATACAAGACATTCTCCGTCTCAAAGCTCATGCTCTCAACACGGTTTCAACCGAGCATATAATTACGCCACGCGTGAAGTATAAAGCGATGCTTCACCTAATGCATTGTCTGGGTGCAGGGTGTGAGGAGCAGGTGGAGGCGCGGGCGCGGGCTGCGGGGGTGACGCACTGGGGCTCACGGACCGCGACCGCGACCGCGAATGCGACCGCCGGTTTGCATCGCTGTTGGATAAACAATAGTATTGTTAAGTACATACGGCTAAGTAGACTTTGTAAAGATAATCCTACGGAAATGTTTGATATTGGCTTTTGGGAGTTGGTTAGTTTTATTGTTTAAGTAAGGTAAATTCAGCCCTACTGCTAGTAAAGTTTTATCGATGTGGGTATCGAGATTGTTTGTAAAAGAGGATTATCAACAACAAGTATTGTCATAAAAACAAAAGGAAATAAAATTACGTTACAATTTATATCTCGTAACTGAAATATATTCTGACAATGAGCTATTATTTTAACATTGTGTATCTACCCAATGATATTATATACAAACAAGGAGTACATACTTCTTGTTTGTATAAAATATCACCAAGGCACAAAACGCGTGCTGTGAATCGGTCCTGATTATATGCGAGCCAGCGCACGTACCAAATCATTCGACAAGATTCATAAAATGACTTCCTGTGTATTCCGAAAGTGTGCAATTTACGAAAAAAATGGTAAATTAATATAAAGGAATATCATACCACGATATAACGTATCTTTCTTAAATTATCATTGTACTACCCCCAAATTACATAAAAAATTAAAACGTTCGCGATATATGAATCTGCTTATTCACAACTCTTGAAACGTGTTATCACATAAAAAATACTACATTAGCAAACGATTTTCAGATGAATAAATAAAAATCTAAATGTACACATTTCTGAATTCCCTTTGCAAATAAAATTTATTTACCTTCTAAATTGATTCTCAATTCCCTATTGAAACCCTTTAATAATGCCTACAATCTTTAATACTACCTCAGTGAATTGTCCCGTAACAATCAGTATAATCTAACAAATCTATGTCAGCTTTCAGTTTAGCCAGAATTCGGGTCAAACAGCTGCCCTTAAAGGTACTTATGAATTTTATTATCCTGCATATGTAGGCATCTAGATTTACTGCCAAATTTTATTTTATTGTTTCGGAGACTGAAAGTACATAGATTTATTTAATTAGTTAAACCAGAGGCGGATAAAGTATCTAGAGAACACCCTGCATACATCTCATCGGCGCCCCCGCATCTTTCTATCGCGCATACCATATTTATTTTATAAATAGCTAATAGTTGAAGTAACTAAATCTGTAATAGTGAAAACTCTAAATAGTTGGCATTGCTTTACTAGAATTTTTAACTTTTTTTACGTTGTGAAAACCCCCAAGGGCTGTCCCGGGTTTGCGTTGGGGCGGTGTATCGGAATCGAAACGACTAAAATAAATAAATAAATAATAAATTCTTTATTTTAAACAATAATTGAAATGTGTTTAATAATGACTGCATCAGTGAAACACTGTGGCGCAGTCACTAAAGGTGGGCGAGCTTTAGATGTAATGCAAACGTTCCGTTACATTCTAATACTCGTACATTACAACTCTAAAAAGTAAGCATGGGGAGTATAACGTTGAGGATTTGAAAGTGTATGTATGCGTGTGTGTGTGTGTTGTGTGTGTGTGTGTGTGTATGTTTGTGTGTGGGTGTGTGTGTGTGAGAGAGAGAGTGTGTGTGTGTGCCTGTGTGAGTGTGCCTGCGTGTGGGAGTGCATGTGAGTGTGTGATGCATTATATAATAGATGCGACTAAGTTTTCGGTGTGTTCGTAAGTTAAACCAAGCAGCCAGTCAGTAACTCGCGATTTACCTTCTCGTATAGTAGTGGGATAAATGTTCAAAATTTTATTTATTTTGTTATAAAATGAGGGGGCCAAAAGTAGAAGTGTCGTTTAGCAAGTTGCGTTTTACACAATTGTATTATGCGAAACTTTATCTATTCTGCGTTTTTTTTTTTATAAGGAATAAAAGGAAAGGTTAATAAGAAGAGTTTTCTTACTGTTACATTTTTTAACTCATGGTATATGGCCTGAGCCGCCTGCAGTACCTGACTCGTTACCGGGTCTGGCGGACCGGGATTGTTTCAAGCCTTTTCAAGTCCCACTCCGCCCTCTTCTCGAGCATGACTTGCTCGTAGAAGGAGGTGGTGGAGTTCCACGAGCTCCCCGCAAGGGTCGCAATCATGGTACCTAGCGAGAGAATCCTCACTCTGATGGCCGTCACGAATCTCTACTCCATCCAACGCAGCGCATTCTAGCAGCGTCTGGAGCGTCATTGAGCGCACACTTTGGGTACCGCAATGGTGCCACCCAGGCGTTGATTATTTGCGGATCAGACCCAGGTGATCTCTTGCGTCAGCCGATATGAGAGAGTTCCGTGTTTTCTCTCGAGCCAATCCTTCATAAAATGGCGTGACCGGTGCTTGGTTGCCCAAGCCTTTCACTCGACTCCTCCCCGAGGACCCGACAGATTTGGGATTTTTGGTCCTCGATTTCTCTAGTTCCAGGTTCCGGAACCAGAACGAGCCCCAGACATCTCATCGAGGGCTCGGTATCACTGTGAGTGCATACTACTATGGGGCTGGATCCCTCAGGTGACACCATCCGAGGCTTATGGAAGAACAAGGCCTCAGATTAGTGCAGAGACACCTCGGGATCCAGCCGCCGGATCCTTACGGTGCGCCTTACCGCATGCCGTTACGAGCATGTCGTCCGCGTAACATGTGACGGCGACACATGATGTTTTACAGGAGCGGCCCTAATACCTACACCTGCGGATTAACGCATGACATTTCATGCTGACCGAGACATAGTAATACTTGGGTAGATGACGGCTCCGGATCCCTCTTAGTACATGCCCTTCAAAAGTGTGGGCACTATCTTTTTGGAAAAACTCTAATTTAGAAACTGTCCGCCTCACGAGGACATCACCTCCTCATGTAGGCCTTCGTGGCTAGTCGAGGAAAAAACCCGTCCACCTGAGACCACACTCAAGGCGGCCAGCCGTGGAGGGGCTGGCCGCTAGAAATCTTCTCCGCTATGTTGACAAATGTGGTGACAGGCGCAACCCAATTTACTGCTAGCGATCGAATGCTGGTACTTCCTTTAGCAGACGTGCTCAGAAAAGACTTGGAAGGAAAAGGCCACCATACCCACTTCACGATGACCGGCTGAAACACATTCCCGGCAGCAAAGCCAGTACGTTGAGCCTCCAGCCGAGACGATCATCGTGGCTCGGCTTGCGGCCTTACGTTTCTGATTTCCGCCTCTAAATCCCATGGCAGAGTGCGACCAGCACCCTCTTTGGATGCTAGAGACACGCCTTATTTTGGGCGGTCAGGGCTTCCGGTCACTCCGGTGCACAATATAGTGCCATTGATTGTACAATCCTGGTCTATTACTACGACTCATACTCGTACTATTCATTTTTGTATACACACACTAGTTTCAATCTTCCTAGGTATCAAAGAAATAGTGACAATTACGTGATATAAACCCTAGATGTCAACCTTAAACATCTGGATAGAATTAGGTCAGGCATTTTCTTTTCTTCGTTAAAAAATTCTGCGCGCGCGCCCCTTTGTAACCTCGCTTTAGGCACTTGCCTACTTTGCCTTAGGGAAAATTCGCCACTGAGTTAAACCTTAGTGTTTTAAATTATTGTTGTCAATGATGCTTAATCAATGATGACGTCAATGCAAAAGAGTATAGGTTATGCTTTGTAAGATTTTTCTTTTAACATGTATTCTCTTTTCTTTATAATGTAGATACTCTGAACTCAATGTCTAAATTCTATTGAAACTCGACTGGAGTCAATAGTCAGACATCAGACAAAGGTTCCTGTAATGGCCCAGGCAAAATGAGATTTTTCATTATCGCTTCGGGGCTTACAACTTGCTACGATTCAAGAGGATCGTTGGAATTTTATGGAATTACCTGGAATAATTGGATAACTGTGAGTCGATTTTGATAACATTGCGAAGTCTTAATATAAAAGTGATATCTACACTTACAATGGAAAGTATTACATCAAGACAGTTATTTAGTTTTTCTAAACATGTCATTGAATCGCACTCAAAAAACACTTACTGGTACCTATTATATTATTTTTAACCGACTTAAAAAAAGGAGGAGGTTCTCGATTCGGCGGAATCTTTTTTTATGTATGTTCACGGATTACAAGAAGACGCCTGAACCGATTTGGAGTCCAGTCCACTTGAGAACCACTTTTCAAGTAGTCTCATTTAAATTTTATCAAAATCGGTCCAGCGGTTTTTCCAAAAATAATAAAAAATCTCAAAATTCTTTACATCGATGATATTTTTGTTTACTTCGAAACCTCGTTGTCTCATTGAAACAGTGCGGCTAGTTAGCCTATCCATATTATAATATAGATAAATAAAATACATCTTCTTTCCACTTAAAGAGCTTCGACAGCTTTTTCTATGGTTTAGGGGACAAGCAGACGAGTTGGCAGATGGTAAGTGACAACCGCCGCCCATGGATACAGGCAGGCAAGTCAGGAGCGAGTTGCCAGCCTTTGATTCTCCGCCAGCATTTTTGAGTCTCTCCGTCTTCCTCTCACTTCCTTGGCGAAGTGCCACGAAAGCATTGTTTAACCTCACCTTTCTGTGAGCCACCTGTATCCCAAGGTAAAAGTACAGATTCGTTGCCATTTTGAAAGTGCCACCAGTGCGACTGTAATTAAAATAGCGTGAATAGCGAGTTCATTGTTTCCGGGTTATTTCGTTAGAGCGATATAGTCACAAGTACTTGTTTCAGTTATTGGTGTGGACAATGCCCACACACTACAAAAAGTGTTGGAAGATCCAGAAGGAATGCTTTCAGATGCATCCGATTGATCTAAAGAGGTGCTTTCAACCCAAATGCGCTCCCCCGCCCCTGCCCCCTCTAATTAATTAACACCAATTTATTGTAACTATACCATATATGGTATTGCGAGTGTTTTGTTGGTGCTTATACTGGTTTACCAGTTTTCCATTATGCATGCCGTTAACACGATAGCTTAATAAAATGTCAACAAAGTCCATTCTGCAAATAAAATAAGAAACTAAACGTATTTTCTTTTTGCTTCCTGTTTCGACCAACAATGTTAGTTCCAATAAACCATACAAAGA